GGTGTTTGTGTTTCACCGGAATGAATAACTCCTATTCTCATCTAACGAATCCTCCAAATTTGAAAAAGGTGCAAACGGGGAGGCAATTTTGACGCGAGAAGGAGGGAGCCCGACGTCAGCTGGGCGAGCCTACTGGTGTGGAAAAAAGAGGCCAGAGGAACAAATGTGGTCAAATCTTCAAAGTGCACGGGGTTTGCACCACGGTGGGCGGTACTAAAGTCGATTATTTAGGAATATTCTATATTGTTTTATAACGCAAAAAAGAATTAGAGTTTATAGAAAAAAATTCCCTGAACGGTATCCAATGGATATTTATATATTTATATATAAACCACAAATACCCGTGTGTTTGTCGGTCTGTCTGTCCCTTGATGTGTTTATCACCATCTTATATGGTGCCTACGCTTTGTTGATAAACAGATTATTCAGATTGCAACAAGTGGTGAGTGGGCAGAGCTGCTTTGCAGCACATGATCTGAGCCAGGCCCCACCCACGGAGGGTGTGGCGCGCGATAAGAGTAGTTCCAGCGGAAGTAAATGATCCCTGTTCCCGTTGACCTTAAGCGTTCTAATTCGGTAGGAGTAAAGGCGACAGAATGGAAACAATGATGGCAGATGGCAAATTAGACGTCCCCTAAAATGGGGGAGGCGTGCGCGAAAATTTTCAACTTGGTTCTAGATCGCACAGACTCGATAGTTGTACAGGCGGCAGTAAGGGAATTCTGATGGTAGGTGGCACGATGAGGATTAAAGAAGAGGAAATGAACAAAGTTACTTAAACACACATGAGTTGAGCAGGATCCCGGTCACGAGAGGCAAGGCGCTCAAGAAGTGTGTGTGTTGGAAGTTTTAATTCCTGTTCTCCTGCACCGGAGCGCCCAAATTTAGGAGGACGTGTGCAGCAGGCCAACTTTACATGAGAAGGAGGATCGCCCGACGTTGACTGGGCGATCCGACTGGTTGAGTAATAATTCAAGGGATGATGAACGAAAGCATGAGGTCATGGCAAGGTACGAAGATGGAAAAGATCCATCTGCGGTTCATCGTTCTCACAGACATTCGCTTGATCGCTCCGCAAACAAACGCTAACGACAGTGAATGACGATGAATCTTCTGCTGCTTAAAGGAGAGATCTAGCAGAGCATAGAAGAAAAAACGCTGCAAAATTCTCGAGAAATCTGTAAACCTCGTTTATCATAACTCGCTACCACATCTACTCACCAGGAACTGTAATCAATATGTGTGGAGCAGGAGCGTTGGAACCTTAGGACTAATGGCTAAAATCATTGATTGTTTCCATCTGTTGGCAGGTTTCGACTACTCAGAGATTCAACAATTCCATTTCCGGTATGAAGGTGTGTGGTATAGCCTCAGCCAAGATGGTACAACACTTTATTCAGTCAACGTTTCGACGTTACCGCCTTCGTCAGGACCTGGAAGCCAAAAAGAATTTGAGATTCATCCAACTAGTGCACAATTTCAGACTTCAGTTAGCCTGAAATGGTGCATGAGTTGGATGAATCTCAAATTCTTTTCGGCTTCCAGGTCCTGACGAAGGCGGTAACGCCGAAACGTTGACTGAATAAAGTGCTGTACCATCTTGGCTGAGGCTATACCACACACCTTCATACCGGAACTCACACGATGCCAAGATTCGTAGAAAGTCGTTCATGGTCAATTCCATTTCCGATTTTCCACTCAATACTGCAGCACTACTTCAGCGAAACCAGAATCGTTACCGCTTGCATTACTCTCTATTTGCAGAAAGAAAAACTTTTCAGGATCACTACATCCTACTATCTAGACGTGTGTGTCCCATGCTGCCAATTATTACGCAATAAATAATAGTTAAGCCATAACAATACCGACGGTCGCTTTTCCGTTTGAAGAAAAGCAACTGACCGTCAGTAAAGCAATTATAGCGAAGCAAGCAAGCAACAAAGCAAGACACAAAAGCGACGTGGTAACTCGTTGTAAGATGAAGCAGTAATAATGAGTCATGAGGGACTGTGCTCATGTAGAAGAAATTTATCCAAAATAATTCATATGGTCTGCAAGGGAGATGGAGGGGAGATGTGTGCATTACAGGGTAACATGCTGACTTTGTCGCCACAGTTGAAGTGGTGTTTTGAACTATTTTGATATCGGTACGGTACAGGGATCACATGGGGTACCGTACCACCCGAAGTCACGTAGCATTTCGCAATGCCGGAATCTCTGATGCCAGAGGCATGTGATACCTGTATATAAGTGGTCCAAGATGAGAAGTCTTCATCCAGGCTATTGCGTAAGCCGTGAGCGGTGTCTGATGTCGTGAGCTTCTGCGCATCAGCAACGTCATTATAGATGCAATCAATTCGGACAGAGCACCGTCTACTATCAGAACATACACATCCGAAATGGAAAAATTCCGAGAGTGGAGGAATGGGCCAGATATGCATAATGACCCTACGCCACAAGCTAGGAATCTTTACTTGGGCAAATGTTCTGCAGAAGCTAGGTATAAATCGATGCCAACCGTTATAGCAGCTCCCAGCTGCTTCTGTGGGCCACTGCAGGGCGTGAATAGAGAGATTCAAGACTCCCTTCTGAAAGCAGTCAAGCGATCGCCACCACCCCCTCAGCATCGTACTAAAATTCGGCCAGAGCAGCTGGGAATGATCATCAAAGTAGGGAGCACAGATAGCGACCCAGAGGTCATACAAGCAGCGGCATTAGCCTTAATTCAGTTTAAGGCCCTACTCAGAATCAGCGAGGCCCAAGCCCTGCGCGTACCAGATGTCAAAAGCACTCATAACGATGTATGGCACGTTAGCATCCCAAAATCCAAGACAGATCAGCATGCCAAGGGGACAGTCGTCGCCATACGCTTTAATGCCCAAGAGCGCGCTTTATTGAATAAGTATCTTTCGACCCTGGGAAATGCGACATTTCTTTTTCAGTCAGGGTCCACGGGGCTCCCACTGGCACTTTCAACCCTAAGGGACGGGCTTAGGCATATTTCAAGCAAGGCCAACCTTCAGTGGTTCAATATAACATCGCACTCTTTCAGAGGGGGTGCAGCCACGCAAGCGCTCAGCATGATAGCTCATCAAATGGATGTTATGCAAGCTGGACGTTGGAAGACACTAGGAGGATTTCAGAATCGCGTATACATATCGCGCCCAAGTTTTTAACCGTAACTTCATCATTTACTTCGTGATGTATTGCCGATTTACTAGTTAATTATCTCTCTGATAATACGATAATCTCTGAACACTTTGAATTGCAACATGTATAGACTCAATTGATAATCTTTGTTTCAAGTCGTGATTCTTGATAATATTCCCATATCTCTTTCTCATGCAATGTGGCACATGTATCCAAATCCGAACTATTCACTAGCCTGTATACTCATTAATTATACCTGTCTCGAAATTTACTTGTAGTCGTTCCTTCAGATAATTCGCATGTATCATGCATTACACACGCAGGCATCAAATCTTATGGAATCATACATTAATACGTCATCTAGTTGTACAGGATTACCGTTCATACATGGTCAATAAACCTACAACCAACCCCTGTTGAACATGCAGTCAATAGATCAAATCTGTATTTATACCCGAGTAAACGGAGGTATAAGTCAATGGTTGAACGACTTGCCGGTTGCGACTGTTGCCTAGGTTGCCGGACGCCATATAACATAACCAGTTGGGCTATGCACGCTAATACGTGCACCACAAGCTCACTACCGCTTACCAACGACTTGTTAGAGGGCCAATATAAACTGTATCGGTTTGACATCCCATTTCATAACTGTTTCCTTACCGCGCTCACGTGACATTCACGCTCTTCATCGTGCCTACGTGACATTCGGAAGGACGCACAAACCGACCCACAAACAGACACACAAAGTTACCGCTTTATATAGAGAGAGATTTTAGGTTGGCCGGAAAGTTTTTAGAAAATTCAACCGGTTCCTTCAACACAAAATACCTACAGCAACAAACTTAGATCAGTGATCAAGATAGTCACGTCCTTCTTAGCCACGATGTCTCTTCATCACTTGGACAAGGCACTGTTGCTATTTTTCCAATATGAAGAAAGGCGGGAGGCAATTCATTCACCTACCACCTACTTGACTTGTCGACAGTTGGTGAATTTTTCCCCTGTAGAACAGGCCTACGGGCTCCTGAAAGTATGGCAGCCATATGGGACGAGGTCAGGTGAACATGTGGGAAACGGGGTAGTCAGGTTATACCGAGTCCTTCCACCTCATCCACCGACGTCCTCGCCTGAGGTGGTCGATCATTATCCATCACAATCTAAAATTTCCTTGTAATCGGAGTGAGAGGGGGGCTTGAAGCACTATCTCTCTCAGTCGGTAACAGATTTTGCGTGCACCGCAATGCACTCTGGTAGGATTTCCTAATAAACGCCCGGTTGAGCAGAGGAAGAATGAGCTCATGTCTTTCCTGGAGTGAGCGCCTCGCTTTGTAGCGTACTGTGGCCTTACGTCCGCTAGTAGACATTGCGATTTCCTGTGTTTATTTTCATATGACATCTACCTCTATGATGACGTCTATGATTTTCATTTGAACTTTTTATCCTAAGCAATGATGAAGTCGGTTGATGTCGTCGTTGGCTTGCAGTCGAGGGGCTTCTGACACACACTGATTCGCTTCGACGCTCCTTACATTTCCTGCCGTTTTGAGGAGGATTGCTCTGAAAGGAGACCAGAACAGTGTAGAACTTCGTCGAAGCAAATCTCTTCCCAGACGAAACTATCGCGTCATTTATGGTGGGTGACAAGAGAGGTTGCATTGCTGCCCATCAGTCACCACGTCTCATTCCAAGCCTGAGTGTCAAAGCGACCAGTCTCGCAATGGTGAAGCAGAAGTCTCCGGTAGTCGTATCGAATGCACATTGTTCGGTCGACGATTACTTACTTCGAAGGACCACGTCGAATACCGATTAATTATAGCATCGATCTCAACAATGCCCATTTCCCTGCTATAGAATCTGTAGCCCTTCTTTGGGCGTTCGCGAACAACATGCTTTCAAAGCCGAGAGGCAAAATTTTCTCGAAATTTTTCTCGAAACCCTAAAATCATCTTCAATCCGTTTTCCAGTGACTACGCAACTACTAGTCAAGATATTTTCATGTTTACCATGGTATGACAAAGAGAAAGAGCGGAGCTTCAAGAAGATGACAACGGATAGTTTCTGAACTCCTTCTCTAAGAGCCAAATCTATGTTAGGCTAAGATTGATTGAATATTCGGTTTGATGAACTTCAGATTCACAGAGTGACGATTAACGTGCACAACCTAGCAGGCTAACAAAGGGGGGGGGGGGGGGGGGGGGAGTTTCAAAGTCTTTG